GCATTTTGTTCTTCACCTAACATAAAAATATAGCTTTAAATATTTAATGACTTATATTTAAATCATCTTACCTTATAAAAAACTTAGTCAAATAAAACAATTACAGAAATATTAAAATAAATCACTTCGTTAATCACAAAATTGGACGAATATTAAAAGCGAAAACTAAACACGTGCACACCCTGCTCTAGGTAAACAAAGAGATCTGGTATCGTCCTGACGTCACTAACTTGGCATTCCTGGCTAACATTGTAGAATAGGGATCTGGCTATCCTTGTAGTATATAGTCCTTGTTTGTTAGTGCTTACAATGCAAAAGATAAAAATGATAAAAGTAAAATAAGATTAAAAAATATTAATTTATGTTTCTATATAAATCATTGAATAAAAATTAAAACGGATAAATTATTTTACTATTTTCATAAAGAGTGACATTTCATTTCTGAAAGTTTTCCTAGAGGGCGAAGATCGATTTATCCATTGGTTGGTTTCATCTTCAATGCAATGAATGGGTGTTACAATTTAAATACTAAAGGGGAGGAACTAATTTCTGCAATATACAATATTATAATCATAATGTAATGAAAAGTAAGAACAACTGATCTATATTTTGAAGAAATCGAAGTGGACCAAAGTCTTCGGACATGCTTACCGTACTGAAGATAATTTTAAGCATTACAATGTTTATTTTGTGTTTATATGGATCCATGCGTTTTATTGGAGATGTTGAAACTAATAAATGCAATATGACGTATATGTTTATGTATCCTGAATATATAGTGAGTTTGTTTATGTATTTCTAAACTTAATATGTTATACTTAAAATACGTAGAAACAGCTTAAATCAGTTATCTGATGATTAGTTTTGGTGAAATACATCTTTTAATATTAACAAAAATAAATAAGTAAATGAAATTAAAATTTTGTAAAAGGAAAATTTGATACAAATGTGTTTACATTGATTTTTTTTTTTATGATTTCAGTATTTAAAATATATTGTATTCCAATCAGTGGTGCAATCAGGATTCATCATGATATACATATACATATCAGGATATACATTTCAGTATTCCAATCAGGATTTAATCTTGGGGAGCACGTTAAATATTTTTTTAAGTTAAATATTATATTTGTATGATAAAAACATTTTCAATGCAGAATTTAATAAAATTCCTATCTTCTAAAGCCGTAAATTCATAAGTGGTATAGAAATAAAAGATACAATACAATATAAATACAAAAAATGAATTTTAATTTGGAAAAGATTTTTGGAAAATTTTCTAGCATTTTTTCCTTTACCTTTGGAGGGTGCCAGGCAATGGTGTGCAGTGACATTTGATGATAGGGAAGCTGTGCTGGTCCTGGATAGAATCATTGGAAGCATTATACAATATTTTGGTGTGTAGCATCCACGAGCTAAACCGCGAGGTTGGTGCTCTGTAAAGCGAATGCTTGTAATCTGGTTGCATTACATGATTCAGATATTTTTGCCGTGGAAGCTGTCCCCTATTTGACAATACAGTACTTCCATTGGGAATATGCATATATGAATTTATATTCAAATACACAATAGCAATCTTATCATTTTTTCTCACATGTATAGAAATTTGTAATAAGATACATAATGCAGTTATAATAAAATATTAATTTTAATTAATTCAAAGTGCGTTAAAATATGAAAATAATTGCACAATATGTATTTAGAAAGCGGTGCTTCCACAACTTCCATGGATGGCACGCCACTGATGCCAGGGCCCCTTTGTCCTTCCTCTGGCTGTGTCACTGACTTAATTTAAGGAATTACCATAGACTACACAGGCCTGGGCTGTGTCAGTAATGTAGAACACCTAAGTTAGAATTCTGAGTGGCTTAGTGGGCAGAGCTAAGAACGTTCTGAGCATCATTGAATGATTATTCTTAGTTAGACAACTGGGCAAAATGGTGGACGAAGTTAAAATTATGATTGCAATGATAGTTGAAAATGAACTGGTCGAAAAGGATGAAGTAACCAATACAGTTATTCAAATGGAAGCTGTGTCAGATCGTGATGAAATTAATAAAGCAATTTTTAATTGTAATCAACGAAATGGATCGCTATCTTCTGTTAAAATGTAGTATTCGGAATCTGTTATACTGATGTATAATTTTACATTTTGTCATTTTAGAATGAGAGAATAACTTTGTTATTTTTATAATAAAATATGTTTAGTCCAACATGAGCATCCATCTTGCAAATCATACAATGAAACAAAAACAATGACATCACTAGTAGAAGTTAGCATAGATAAAAGAAGCTGACTGAACTAGCTAGAGTTCTAGCAGTGGGAAGAGTCAAGCAGTAATTAGACCTATTAACGCGGAGATAAGTGAGTGGCTATTATGAATGACTACAATGTATCTATATTAGATTTTTGAAAACTTTTAAAATCTATTAGGATAAAAACTTTTTACTATTAGAATAAAAACTAAAAATTAATTTTTTGATTTTTTAAAAAGCAAAAAGCATTAGTTAAAATTTTAGTCGTTTTTAAGTTCTACAAATTTATTTTTAAAACTTAAATTTTTTCTGCTGAATTTTTAAACAGATTTTTTTTTTGTAAATTGAAAAATTGAAATGATTTATGTTGAAATCACTTCTAATTTTCCACATATTAAAATTTAAGATTTCTATTATTAATTTGCTATTATACTTTTTCAAATGTACTATTAACAAGTTTTAATTGAAAACTTAATATCAAATATGAAAGAAATTAAAGCTGTGTGAAACTGAAAATGCTGAATGTATTCTTTATGAAATTGCAACTAAGAGTTAACAAGTAGACAAATACTGTAAGTGTTGTAAAATGGAAAAAATTAACAAACAATAACAAAAATTCTCAAATGGAGAAAAATTCAAAAAGTTTGAATATCAATTGTTAATTACTAGAAAAACTTAATCTAATGTGTACTGAAAGTTAATATTTAAACGTTAAATAGTAAAAATCAAATTAAAAAAGTCTAAATTTTTTTCATAATGTTAATTTATAACAATTTTATATTTGTAATATATATCATTGTTTAAAATTGTAAAATTATACATGTAAAGATAGTTATTCAAACAATAAGGAACATATGTTAAATAAATAAGTTAAATGTGATTTGTTTTAAAACTGTCTGGTACTCAGATGATTTTAAAGCAGTCTACTAAAAATAAAGAATAAATATTCATCTAAACAATAAATTTTTAAAATAATTTTTTTAGAACTTAAAATAACTATTCCATAAAAATTTCCAAAATTATCATATAAAGATTTCCAGCTTTGTAATAAATATTTCTTGATAAAAGTAATGCTAACATTATTATAATAAAAGCAATTTCAAAATTATTTAACTTTAGGTGCTTAATTCTATGAATAAATTTAAAAGCACTTTAATCTATATAACTTTATGAATTAAAAGCACTGAATTACAGTCGACCCCCCTATGATTACGGTCCCTATAATTACGATTCCTATAAAACTACGAAAAAATATACGTATTTTGGAAATGTTGAGTCGGATTAGTGTAGAATTGATTAATTTTATTGAAGAAAACCTTTCAATCAGCCGTAGTCCGTAAACTTGACACGTGTCGGGCTGTGATTGGAACGACTTGTAAGAAATCGGATTCCTAATAAATTGGAACGTATCTATATCTTATAGGGGGGTCGACTGTAATTGGAAAGTTTCTTTAACTCGTATAGAAATTACTATCGATAATTTTGAACTAAAAAAAATATTTGAAATTTTATGAACAATTTTTAAAATTGTTAAATAACTAAAAGTCAATTAAGATTCAGAAAATGTTTTGATAAATTTATATTTTAAAATGATTGTACAGAGATAGACTGTTAAGTATAACAAAATAAGTAGGTTATTAGCAATTGTTGATTGTATTAAAATAATCATTTTTAATTTTTTAAATAATTTTTTATCATATTATGAAAAGCAAATTCATTATGAAACAAATATTTACAGCAAATATATATGATATACTAATATTTATATTCATTAAATATGATATATGTATATAAATATATCACATTCAATATAAATTGATACAGGTATACCTCGCGTTACGTCAGTAATTGGTTCCAGGAGAGGCAACGTAAGTCGAAAAACGATATAAATCGAATTTACTTGTCTCCAAATCTACTTGTCACTACGCTAAACCATAAATTACCATTCCCGGTTCTGTATTTTATTTATTAATGCATTTTAAATAATACTGTATATGGTTAATAAGGATCTATTTTAAGCTTACAAACAAATAAATTTTAGTTTTTAATATAGTACAGAAAAAAGTAATCTAAATTTACGAATGCATGTACTGTAAATACAGTACATACTTGTAAATGTATATATTTTAATATGATTTTATGTGCTTTAAATGCTCTTCTAGTGATATTATGACTTCAATATTTGTGGCGGACAGACGTAAAGTCGAATAAAATGACTTAAACTTGATTTTTATTTTCCTATATACTTTTTTGACAAACGACGTATAATTGGGAACGACATAACTCTAAATGACGTAAGTCGAGGTATACCTCTTACCTATACCTGTATATATTTAAAATAGAGTATGTTATTTAAGATAATTTAAGTATTTTAAATTTAGTTTATGCATTTTTTAATTAAAAGATTTTTAAGTTAATATAAATAATATCTCTATCTTGAAATAACTATTTTTATATTTATTTAAAAGTATTAACAGTAGTAGTAATTATTTTGCACCAAGGATATAACAATAAATTTATAACAAAATGCTGTAGTAATTGTAACATATGTCTTGAACATATTAAACTACAATAAAGACAATTAAGATATGCTTTTTTTTATTTTTATCTAATATATGAAAATAAAGTTTATTGAAGATATAAGTATTTTTTAATTCAGAGTAAGCCTAGTTATAGTTTTCATGTTATAAAGAAATGTACTAATATAATATAGTTAATTTGCTTTATAAGTTTTGATATATTCAGATTCAGTCTTTGCAAATGCAGGACCTGACTGAAACAATTAAAAATCAAGTAATATCATACCTAAATAAAAATTTAACTAATATTGAACACTATGTTGTTGATTTTAAAATCTCTTACTTTCACAAAATATTACAATTTCCTCTTTAGAATGAAAATTTCTCTCTTGAATTTGTGATTAAATGATATATGACAATTTTGATGAGATAGAGAATTAGATGTATGTTTATTGTATATGAGTTTGTAATTTTGGTATTAATAATCTTTTAATAAAATCTAAGTTTGTAATATTATTTATTTAATATAGAAATTGCCATTTACTTCAGAAGTGAAGAAAAAATTTCCACATTATAATTTATATGTTTATGGAGAAGGGTAAGAAAATATTTCAAAAAATTATTTTTATTAATTATTATTATATTTTAAAGCCAAATGATTGCCAGATAATATTAAGTTATATTATTATTATTATTATTATT